TGAGTCAAACTCGTATCTTGATCCAACCGGCAGACAAAAACTAAGATAAAGGACGTGAAATTTCGAATCCTTATTTCTGACAAGCACGCAAACCACGCAATCACGTTTACAGAACTTATGCAATTTTAGCATGGACAAACGGCGCTAATGCTGGCTGTATCACATGGCAAAATGAACACCACGAAATTACTGATTGACTGCCAAGCAGACCTCAACATACAGGTTGATACACACAGGCTTATTCAATCCCAATTTTAGCCTCAATTCCCAAAGTTTTCTCGATTTTCCTAAAGTAAAAATAATCAGGTCTGAGCCGAGTGATAGCATTTTTATTGAAAAGAATTGTGCGCAAAATTGGCATTGTCAAAGATGACTATTTTAGCCATAAACAACTTTTGAAGTGAGTTTTGTGTTTACAACAGTCGGAATGTCTCATCATTACTGTTATCGTTGTATTAATTTTATTTAATATTATTATTAATATTGTAAAATATTATTATGTTTAATATTATTTTTACTATTAATGTTATCATCATTAGTGTTGTTGTTTCCGCTACTATTATTTTTATTACCCAGGATGAGGAAGGATCAACAGCTTTGATGTGTGCCGCTGAACATGGCCATAAAGATATCGTCAAACTGTTATTAACGCAACCGGATATCGATGCTTCTCTTGCCGACTGTGTAAGAAACCTTTCTGTTTCCAGTTAGATTTTCTTGAAATTCATGCTGCTTTTGTCCCGTAAAAACTTTTAATCCATTTCAGGACAGTTCAACGGCGCTGTCAATTGCAGTGGAGAATGGTCATCGTGATATCGGTGTGCTTATTTATGCCCATCTAAACCATGCGCACAGTAAAGCATCGTCGAACAAAGATTCGGCTTCATGAAGAAATTTACTGTTCTTCCGCTGTGATATTTCGAAGTCCTGTTTTGATTAGAAAGCAAATGAGTTTAGTACAACGTAAATGGTGTTTGCTACTGATGTCGAAAGCAGATGCTGTCAAATATTTTGGAAGATAGTTACCCTTTGACGTAACATTTGAGAGGGACTAAGATATACCGTGTTTGGGACAAACCTTCCACGATGATTGTTTTGTAGTGCATAAGGTTCTGTATCGTCAGCGATGAAATACAACCGATGACCTCAAGAGAGAAATAGCGCCGGTGGCTCTGTCAATCAACTTTGATTTATTATTTTCCGGCTCTTCAACTTCCTCTCAATAAGTTACTTTGCCTGGAGCTATTATTTTGAGCTTGTCCACTACCGTCGGAAACTTAGTGCATCAACAGAGAATGCAAGTTTTTTTAATCGTCGTTTTACAATACATCCATAACGATAGTACCTTGGCGATGACTGAGCAATAATTGTTGGATAATTTTACAACGATCCGGAGAAAATAGT